AAATGACCAATTTGCTTATAAAAGATTCATGTGTTGGGGTCTTCTAGGAATTTACATTTATGAGACCAAAGTTTAGCAAACGTGGTTACAAGATACAGATTGGAAAATCTTTAGCCTGTTGCTATTGCAGTATCGACACCAGCAGCAGCAACAATAGCAGTCACTCGTTTTGAGCACCTACCATGTGCCAGACCTTGTGTTAAATACATAAGCAGCATGTAACTTAATCTCATGACAACTTTCGTATGCTAAGCAACTGTTTTGTCCTTACTTTATAGATGAAGAGATTAAAGCTTAGATATAGACACTAATTCCCAATGTCTCAAGGCCAGGACTTGAACACAGGTCTACGTGACTTCAAAACCAAAATTCTTTCGTTGATCCCCACTTAACCAACTTGCCAATATAACAGATACTCTCTGTTCCTTCTGCAAAGCCTAGACTGATATCTATAGCTCTCATGAGTGTCCCAGGCTCTAGTATGTCTGCATACATCTCCCACTAGTCAAAAGTTATATGTTTACCGAGAGGCAGAACCTGTTGGTTGTACTTGTTGTTATAATTATGTTATTTTATAAAATATTAAGTGATGTAATATGTGTGTAAAGGAAGTCGTTGTATCTATGAAAACTTAATACAATGTTTTGGGAAGATTTAATAAAGACTGGCAGCTCAAGAAAATTAGGTGTGAGAAGGAAATATAAAAGATAGAGGAAAACCATAAAAATCTAGAGAAATTTTGCATTCCTTTTGCCTTGGAAGGATCTTTTTCATCTGCTTTAAAGATGCTACAATAATTTCGTAGACTATATTTTATTGTTGTAGTTTATACAAGAGTGCATAAAATGTCAGTCAGCAGACCCATAAGCCAAGAGGAAGACTTGACACTACAATTAAAAGATAAGCAATAAATGAATACTTCTGTGATTTAAGTTAACATAAAATGGTATACATATGTGTGTGTGTGTGTTTGTTTGTCAGTGATTCCTCTCTGTATTGCAATTAACCCACCAGTACTGCTCCTGATTCTTTCAAAAGGGAATTCTATATACTTGCCCAGGTTAAGCATATTATGAGAGAAGAGAAGAGGACAAGAACTTTGGAGCCCACTATACAGAGGTGTGAGTCTTCAAAGTGAATTCATGATAATGTTCAAAGCCGTGGAAGGTGAATTTCAATACAACAGGATTATCCACCCAGGTTTGGAGTTGGGATCATTAAAAAGTATATTCCCAATTTTTTTTTTTTTTCCTGCAGAACTTTAGTTTCTGTAGACTGGAAGCATCATAGCATAGAAGGAGGAGCATGGGCTTTGAAATATGTTGGATGTAGCTTCAATAATTTAACTAATTGACTTTAGGTATGGTCTCTGAGTCTCAGTTTCCTCAAATTAAGATAGTATGGTAACACCCATATCCCATAGTTGAGGAATGTACAATGCTGAGCACACAGTAAGTTGCAAAAGTATTGCTCTTCATTTTTTACCCCTTTGTGTGGGGCTATTAAAAATATCATATGTTATATCATATAATATCATATATATCATATATTAATCAAAAAGGTAGGTAAAGACATGAAAAGGAAAATTTACTATCTCTGTCAGTTTTTTACCCAAAAAACTGTTACTGCCACATTTGAAGTGGATTTGCGTGTTAGGACAAAGAATTTCAAGAATCTCTGGTTACTGGAAAGATTTTTAATTTGAGCAGAAATAGAGCTAGATACCAATGGAAATACTTTGTTGAAGTAATTTTGGGTTTTGTTGGTTTGGGGCTTTTTTTTTTTTTTTGGTACAACATTGTTCATCTTCCTTTGTAAATGGCAGATTTAATCCAATCTAATTTTGAGGTTTACAACATTCTGCTGACACATTCCATGTTACATATTTTATTTGCAGTGTAACCACAAAAACAATTTCCATTTTCAATAAAGATAAAATATTAGAAGAATCTATTTTTCTTAGTCCACTAACTGTAACTTTTTAATTTCCAGGTATTTAGGAGATTCTGTAGTAAACGCATCCTTTATCCTAAAGCCTATTTAAGGGTGGAATAGCAACTGTTCAGGAAGAGAGAATTATAACATAATGTTTTAAACATGACATCCCCAGCCTATAATAAGTAATAAGTAATAAGTAGAATCGAGACAGCAAAAGACATATTTGTCCTCAGGATGCTTATAAGGCTAATTGGAGAAAGAAGGCATTAGTAAATGAAAAGATGAAATGAGTGATAAGAATTTTAACAGTACTGCAGGTAATTTGGGTATTGGGAAGGAGAGGATACTGGCAAAGTCCACAAAAGAATCGAGAAGAATGCTTAACAACTTATATTTCTGAAGATAATTTTCAAAATTAAATTGTATATGGATGACAAAGTGCAACTTATACTTAGAGGTAAGAATTGCATATGTTGTGCATACGCTATTCCTGTTATTCACAGTAAGATTGTTAGTATATTACTGCCTTCTTAACAAGTGACCACAGTTCATTTTCTTGATATTACTGAAAACCTCCTTAGGAAGTTCTATATATTACCAAGTTAATGCATTGGCATTCTTGGGTTTATTCTTTTAAAAATATTTGCTGAGATCTTGTTATATGTCAGATCCCATCCTAGGCACATATTTATATTAATTCTCTCACATATAGTGAACAAGTATTTATTTCCAAGCTAGCAAAAGGAAATCAAATTGTTCATTTCAACTCATGTGTAAAATGTGCCACATTGTTATGGCTTAGTCTTACTTTAAATTTAGCATAAGAGTTTCTTGAGTCATTCAATGCTGTATATAGTGAATTCTATATACCTGGTTTAAGCCTTCATAATAAAGGCTTGGGTTTTGCTGCCAGTTGTAATGATAGGGTTAAAAACAAGTACACAGTTTTATACCTCTATATGAAAATTTTTCAGCAACGTATCTTGAGATTACTTACTTGCCAGTCTTGCTGCTTTCCTGTTAATTAATTTCACTGGAATTTACCAAGTATTTGTTGGCTGTAGAAATATGTATGAACAGGAGATGAGTTAATTCACAGAATACAAAAAAAAAAAAAAAAAGCCAGATCTGGAATTAGAGTTATTTAAGATTTGTAGGATCTCATTGTGCTAATAAATAAGTATAAGCTGTCTGACCAGCCGGCTCCCATTCTTGAGCTACCTTCACCTGCCAGTGGCAAAGACATTTGAATTGGTATTTATAGTTTAGACATTTTCAGACTGATTTCTACAGAGATCTAGAGTTCCAGGTACTGAGGAGATATATAGGATCAAACTGGAGGCCACCAACCTCTTTTCCTTTTAGTCAAATAACCTGTGATTATATTTGGGGAAAATAAAGGTTCCAACTAACCTGTAACCAGTTTGGAAAATCATTGCTCCACATGGAATATTCTGAGCTTACTTCTGTACCCAGATGCCACCAATGTCAAGTTCTCCATGATAATAGCCTCTGTGTGGGGAGATAGAGCGTGAAGGATGCTGTGGCAGTGTGTTCATCATGGTCGATGACCTTCAAATTCCTTACTAGAAACTGTGTCCACTTTCAGGCTCTGCAATTTAGAGAAACGTGGAAAACTTGGAGAGAGATCAGAGCACAACCACAAAGACAATTACAGCAAATTACCTTTGAGGCAACTAGAATTATTTTATTGAAAAAGAGAAATCTGAAGGCAATTTAATAATGGTCTTTCAGACGTTGGGAATTATTAGACTGGGATTAAGGACCAGATTTCCTTCATGTGCAAACATGGGCAGGGGGAAAGGTGAAGCAGGGGGTTCCTGCTTTGGCAGGAAGAATATAATACAGAATCAAAAGAAAAAAACGGCAATCAGATGCTGAGCCTATTTAATCAAAGGAATAGATCATTCAGTACACTGTTCATGAAAGTGTTTTAAAGACAATATGAATTCCTATCTCTGTTTTATGTGTTAGATAACGTGCTACCTGAAGGAATGAGGATGAGTTCAATGAACTTTGTCTTTTTAACTCTGTCAGTGATTTATCTCTAAATTATATCATAAGGTATAGATTTCAAACAATTATTTTGAATTACAGTATCATAACTTGATGCTACCAGGAGAGGATCTACTTTCTAATAAAGTTAAGGAAATTAGTGGCAAAGAGGTCATGAACTCATATACCTACAGGGACCGGTGGGTATTACAAAGGAGTGAAGCTAACAACATGAAACAATATGGCATTAAAAAAGTTATGGGGTATCAGAAAGCATATAATTCCTCTGAAAGGGGCAATCACTACTAACTTGCCAATTGTTATAATGTCCCAGTATGCCTATATTAACAGATGTTTGGCTTTCTCAAGGAAAGCTGGAAATCTAGAACTTTATGTGAAACATTTTTCTCACATTGACAAAATATTCAGATTTATAAACGTGCTAGGCAGGCAAAACAATACACTTGGTGCAGGCTGCAAGTTAGAAACCTTTGGTTTATTCTTTAGCTCACTAGTTCACCACCACAATAATTAACAAGCAAACGAAACAGAACTGTTTGAAGTCTAAAGCTTAGGAGAATTAATCAGCTAAACCTTTGCAAGGCTTAATTAAGGTCCCTTTCAACTCTGTGATTCGTTAAACTCCCCTTCCCTTTTTTCTCTTTTCCTTGCTCCCACTATTGGGTGGTGTATTCACAAAGAGAATTTGAAGAAATTACTTATTTCCCACAGCAACATAATTTTATTTGGTAAAATAATCAAATACTCAGATTGAAAAAACAATTCTTGTTTCTATATTAAAGATGCCACTGATACTAGTAGATTTTTAGAAACGCACTTGTATATGGCATAGGTTTGTCACTTTGGATCTTTAAACTAACATTTGTTTATAACATTGACTGCATGAGGCATGCTTGACTGAAAAACCTACTTACACTTTCACCATTTGGGTACATGTCTTACTTCTCTTTTATAAAATATTTTCAAATAACTCACCTCCATCTGGGGTAAGGACAGCTGGATTTCTGAAATCCCCTTCCTTTCAGACAGGAGAATATGCCACAGATGAAGAAGAAGATGAGGTAGGACCTGTCCTTCCTGGCAGCGACATGGCCATTGAAGTCTTTGAGCTGCCTGAGAATGAGGACATGTTTTCCCCCTCAGACCTGGACACAAGCAAGCTCAGTCACAAGTTCAAAGAGGTATGCCACTACGCTGCAAAATATTTCTCTATGCGTGTTCATTTCATTAAGTATATATTTCTGTTCAAATAGTATATTAAGAATAATCAGTTTGCAAATGAAAGCTTTTTAATAACAGGTTGTCTTGAGTCTCATTGAATTTCAAGTAAAATTTCAGTAAATCTCATTCCACAATCATTGATTTAAATGCTTATTTGTCATAGTGACATACATGTAGCCCATAATTTCAAGCAGTAACTTACATGTGCAGTTTTATGATGTTTAAGTTATGTTTTTTCAGTTTTACAGAAGTTTTGGTACCTGGTGATAAGCTGTTCTCTTAAGGCAGGGATTTCCTAAAAAGGCTCTTTTTGTCTTTATGTTCATGAAATAGGTTTCTAATAAGCATCAGATGGCATACCCAAAGGGTTTACTCGAAGAGAGTTTAATACACAGACTTTGAACAGAGTTAATAGTACTAACAAGGGGTGTTGAAGTGCATGGGGACTGACAACAGCAGGAGGCTATTACCATCAACATCCGCAGCTTTATAAGATGCAGCCACTGCTAAAAGCTGCATCCTTGGGGCAAGGGTAAGAATATACCCTGACTCTGCTTTCCTTTTCTGCTGATGCTTCCAAACCCAGGCAAGGGAGTATGGTGATGCAGTCTCAGAGTCTGAAGAGGTCAGACTCCTGAGGCAGTGTGCTCTTAGAGAAGGGCCAAGAATAGAACCTTGGGGGAGGAAATGTGGATAGCTTTTCTTCCAAAGTAACTTCTCAGAACCCTGACACATATAAAACAAAAACAGTGATTAACAGGTCCCCAAGCAGTTTATTCTTCCTTGTTTTGGAAGAGTATTCTCCATCACTGAATAGAAATATGTCATTATTTACAATTTGTTCATTTCTTATAAAGACTTTCTAAATTAACTGATATCTTCAAACCAAAGAGCAATGCAGAAAAAGAAAAGTTCTGCAGAAAGTGGCTGAGTGTGAGGAAGAAGTGTAATCTAGTACCTGTTTCTCTGCAGCCCTTATTTGGTCAAAGAATATAAATTATCAAGAAAAGTAGGTAGATGCCTTGTTCTCTAAGAATATTTTAACTCACAACCCAACTTTAACAAATATTGAAGGCAATGAGATCAAAGTAGTATTCCCTGGCAAAAGCCTATAATACAGCTCTTTCATTTTGCCAGGTAAGTATGACCCCTAGTCTTTGGTAGATAATTGAGCTGGAAGAAGGGTCCATATTCTTTTATGGAAGGTGAAGAGCCTACAGGGCACAGATAATATATGGAAAGTTATATCTTCCATTTTCAAAATTGAGCCAAGGACTCAAAGCTCCATAAATATTGTTTTAAGCGTGCACCATTGTGTAGAGTGATCTAGACCAGGGGTTAGCAAATTACGATATATTGTCCAAATCTGGCCTACTTTTTATAAATAAAGTTTTATTTGAACACAAGCATGCCCATCTCTTTATTGTTTGTGGCTGATAACATACTGTAACAGCAAAGTTGAGTAGTCGCAATAGAGACTGTATGGCCTGCAAATCCTAAATTATTTGCTTTCTGGTCCTTTACTGAAAAATGTTGCTGACCGTGGTGTAGACTGCTGTGTAATCTGGCTGATTCTGTGTAATGTGGCTGATTTATGTTTAGCCTGAGTAACCAGGTCTGTAACTTTCTTTTAGTTTTGCTTTCTAAGAATTGGAATTTTGTCCTCACCTCAATAACAGGCAATATCACATCGTCCCACTTACAATTCTTTTATCTTCTTTTGTTTTACATTTAACATTAATATATTCATTTCTTCAGAATATTGTCCCTGCGTATCACCTGTGTGGCACTCTTTTTGTGAAATTTCTTTATGTGATTAATATACATGTCCAAATATTATATAGCACTAGGCACTTTTAACAGGATTATGCACAAAACTTGGGGTGAGTGTAAAGGGTCATATTGTATTAGCGTCTTTACAAAGTTTCATGTTACAGGATTGTCTTAATTATTTTAAGCAAAAGTATGTTTTACTACTTGGGCGGAACACATTAGACTGACATTATCTCAATCTGTTGTACTTTGGGCCTGTTTTGTATCTATCTTCCTGCTAGACTTTAAGCTCCCATGTTTTTGTTTATTATCATGTCCTCAGTCTTTGTATAATTCTTGGCATATAGTTAGTGGTGAAATATTTAGGGAATGAATAGCGTCAAACATATACTGGAATTTGTTGTATGATCTAAGACATGTACCTAATTTAACGTTTCCAAATAGCCAACAAAAGTTGGTTAACCCTTTTATTAAATGCTCATTTACCAATTTCCCTTTGGTAGGAGGGCCAACGTTATTATCTAAAGAATTTGTGCCTTTACCTTCTGAACTGCTTATGGCTTCATAGTCTGCTCCATCTTCTCATTTTTCTTCAGTGCCATACTATTAGAATATACATCAGTATTGATGGGCTAAGTCACATTATTCCAACTTTTCAAAAATTCCTTTATTTTTCAACTTATTCAAGAAAATGTATGAATCACTTTATAAATACCCTTGAAAAATACTCTGCATTTTTTGTTGTAATTATGTTAAACTAGTAAATTTGCAGGGAACTGGCATTTTAAAAATCACATCAAATCTTTTAATCCAAGTTCATGGAATATATTTGTTTAATTAAAGCCTTTTTTCTCATCCTCCCAAAAGTTTTATCATGCCCTTTATTCATTATGTAAGTCACATACATACTAAGTTACCTAAGTATCCAGCTATAAGTAACAGAACATATTACTGGAGTAGGTTAAATAAAAGCTGCCATATAGCCAGTCATGGTGGCTCATACCTATAATCTCAGTTCTTTGGGATGCTGAGGTGGGACAATGGCTTGAGCTCAGGAGTTTGAAGTTAGAGTGAGCAATGAAGGTTGCCACTGCACTCCAGCCTGGGTGACAGAGCCACACAAGACCCCATCTCAAATAAATAAACAAAAACTGGGAGGATTAAGATGGCAGATAAGAGTCAGGACTGCTTGCGGCTCCTGCTTGGATGGACAGAACAGCGTGTGGAGACTCACATTGTGAACTTTTGCCCCAAGAACTACCGCAGGAAAATACCAGGAAAGCCAAGAGAATCCACAGACCTTTCGAAGGAACTGGATCACCACTGCAGGCTCCCTGAAATGCCAAAAACTGCGAGTCTGCTTGCTTTCTCAACAGGGAGGCTCCTGGTTTAGTGTGAGTTCTCAGCGCTGGTCATGAGCTGCCTGGAAATAGACTTGGCGCTGTTGTGAAGGGCATGGTGGGTGTGAAACTGGCCATTAGGACTCTGGACTTCGTGGGAGCAGAGTGAGGCCTATGACTGCCGGCTTTCCCCCACTTCCCTGGTGGCGTATGTGACTCAGCAGAGGCAGCCATAATCCCCCTGGAAATATAACTCCATTGGACTGGGAACCACAACCCCATCCCCCACAGCAGCCACAGCAAGCCCTGCCCAAGGAGAGACTGAGCTAAGACACTCCTGTCCCTCCCCCAACCTGGTGGTCTTCCTCTACCCACCCTGGTAGCTGAAGACAAAGGTTATAATCTCTTGGGAGCTCCATGGCCCTGCTGACTGCCTGAGAAACCTGAATACTTAACCAGGTATTCATATTTTGCCCTAGGGCAAATATGCATCCTCCCTATAGGACCCCAGCTCATGTGCTCTTGAAATTGCCACCTCCTGACTGGAGTCCAACCAATATAAGACCAGCACACTAAACAAAAATACAACCAAGGACCCTTCTGAGTCCACGTCATTCCCCTGCTGCCTCCATCAAAGCAGGTGCTGGTATCCATGGTTACAAGACCTGAAGATGGATCACATCACAGTACTCTTTGCAGATACTCCCGAGTACCAGCGCAGAACTTGGTAGTTCCGCTGGGTGGCTAGACCCAGAAGAGCAAAAATAATCACTACATTTCAGCTCTCAGGAAACCCCATTCCTAGGGGAAGGGGGAGAACACCAAATCAAGGGAGCACACTGTGGGACAAAAGAATCTGGACAGTAGCCCTTGAATCCCAGATCTTCCCTCTGATGTAGTCAACCCAAATGAGAAGGAACCAGAAAAAACAGTTCTGGTAATATGATAAAATAAGGTTCTTTAACACCCCCAAAAGATCATACCAGTTAACCAGCAATGGATCGAAACCAAGATGAAATCTCTGAATTGCCAGAAAAATATTTTAGAAGGTCAATTATTAAGTTAATCAAGGAGGCACCAGAGGAAGGTGAAGTCCAACTTAAAGACATCAAAAACATAATACAGGAAATGAAAGAAAAATTTTCAGTGAAATAGATAGCGTAAATAAAAAAACAGTCACAGCTTCTGGAAATCAAGGACACACAGAAATACAAAATGCACTGGAAAGTCTCAGCAGTAGAATCGAACAAGCTCTGAAGAAAGAACTTCAGAGTTTGAAGACAAGGCTTTCAAATTAACCCAATCCACCAAAGACAAATAAAAAAGAATTTTTTTAAAATGAGTAAAGTCTCCAAGAAGTTTGGGACTATGTTAAATGTCCAGACTAAAAACAATTGGTGTTCCTGAAGAAGGAGAGAAATCTAAAAGTTTGGAAAACATATTTGAGGGAATAATTGAGGAAAACTTTCCCAAAAGAAAGAGAAATAAATCCTCGAATTACACCAAAATAGAACCTACTTAAAGCATAAATCTCACAGGACCTTTATAATAACACAGTGGAAAAAAAATATTCAAGCAATAAACAGCACAGTGCTAGAATAGTACCTCACGTATCAATACTAACATTGAATGTAAATGGCCTAAATGCTCCACCTAAAAGATACAGAATGGCAGAATGGATAAGAATTCACCAACCAAGTTTCTGCTGTCTTCAGGAAACTCACCTAACACATAAGGACTAACATAAACTTAAGGTAAAGGGGTGGAAAAAGATATTGTATGCAAATGGACACCAAAAGCAAGCAGGAGTAGCTATTCTTATATCAGACAAAACAAACTAAAGCAAC